CCAGTGCTCACCGATGTTGTTGTCCATAGGTTGTGTGTGGCGTTAACCAGTTGTAGTGTGTGTGTGTGTGTGATTCTTCAGGAAGTGTGGGGAACGCACTGTCAATACTAGCGCGTCACCATCCGTCCGTCAGTGAGTGAGTGGGTCAACTGACGGAATACTTGAGGAGAATTTCACTTAGTATTCATAGAATCAATCAATGTAGCCATCCATCCATCCATCCACTTTGTATACTAACTAATATGTGAAATTATCTCGCATCACTAACTAACTAACTAACTAACTAACGACTGACTGACTAACTACGTGTTGTGCTAGTCCTTATCATGTAGGCTGAATGTTTTCAGCAGGTGTATGTATGCAGGTTGTCGAGAGTGTGCAAGAAATCAGCGAAAATGTGTCAATCGATGAAAACTGACTCGTGAATCGAATCGAATAGCCTTCATGGGAATTGAATTATCTTGTGTAAACTGATGAAATGTTTAATATGCATATGCCTTATTACCACTTCTTCTTCTGGACATCTCCGGCTCCGTTTATTGTTCTTCTTCTTGTCGTTCACTGCGTCACTTCTTCGTCACCATGGGCTGTTGTAATAACTGTGTGAGTGTGAAGTTGGATTGATGCATGTTAATTAAGCTGAGTTAGTTAGTTAGTCAGTTGGTTGGTTGGTTGGTTGGTTGGTTAGTAGGTGGGTGAGTGGGATAGAGAGAGACTAGACTCCTCACTGTGGTATTATGAGGCATTGGTCACTTTAATCATTCGTAGGACTTCGCTTCTGTTTCTATGCAATAGCAAGCACATTGTGGAAACTGGGTAGGAAGGATTAAGCCAGTTGAATAATTATGATAATAGTAATAATAATCATTGTATACTGTTCGACACCCAACTCATAGTGTCGGTTTATTCAGCCAGCCAGCCAGTTTCACGTCTGTCTGTCTGTCTATCTGTATTATCCTGGTATTAACGCTTAGTGGGTAGAGCAAGTGAATGTAGTCGTCAGTGACTTGTGGTTGGTTGGTTGGGTTGATGGCTGGCTGGCTGGCTACACTTCACTACTCATCTGCTGTTGTTATAATATGGAGGGAGGGACGGAGGGACGGACAAGATCATCAGACTGACTGTTCATCACTTGAAAATGAATGAGCTATTACTGATGTCTAATATCCCGTTGAATCATGTGGTACTAGCGAATACCTCCTCCCCCACAACACCACCCCCCACCCCAACATCATATTTATCAGATCAATAACTGCAGTATTTGCATATCTACCATTGTATATGGATGGATATTGAAATACTTACTTACTTACTCACTTACTTACGGTTTAATGATGCATCTAATTAGAAATAAGAGACCTGCGTGACTCCACCTCATCCTGCCTGCCTGCCCGCCTGCTAGACGTCTTCTTCTTGCTTCAATCATGACAGCGTGTAGCGTGTTTTATTTACACAACTAACTCATGATACACACACACAGACACAGCGTATCAGTCTCAAGTGTACACCATATGCATGGGCGTAATGAGCTTTGTTTATGAGCCAGGCAGGTAGGTATGCAAATCAGTGTGAACGCTTGTAATGTCCACTCATTCATTCACTCATCCATTCACTCACTGCTTATAAGACTACCTATGAAATATGTAAGCGAGTATGTAGGTCACCGACCAACCACGACTTGACCAGTTCAGTTACACAACGTTGAATATATATTTAGACATAATCAACGTACTCTGTCTGTCTGTCTGTCTGGTTAGTTAGTTGGTTGGCTCTATGACGCATTACAACACGTAATGTGGCTACGTGGCTAACTTGAAATGGTAATAATTTCCGCTGAAGGTAGCTACTCTCCTTCCTTCCTTCGTGTATCTGGTCCTGTGACTGTAGCCACCGTAGTGAACAACTTGACGTCATCTTTGAATTGAATTACATACAGTGTACAAGTGGACATTCTGAGAGGTTTCTTGGTGGAAAGATCGTCTTCTAGTGGCCAAAAGCGAAAGGGAAGTACATCCATGCATCCACATATCCATGGAAGGTTTTACAAATAGTTATGTTATCCTATCCTATCCTAGTCGATCCGATCCTACCACGACAACACCACAACTCATCCACTCACTCACTATTCGCATTCGCAGTCACCACCACTTACAAAGTGGAACTAGACCTACTGAAGACAGTATGCTTCTGACGCTTCTAGATATCGTCGTGCACCATCACCACCACCACCACTCGAACTCCTTATCCAAAAATTTAACCCTAATACTGATGCTAAGATACCTGCGAATTCTCATGAACTGTATCTATCCTGACACAAATAACTGAGATTGTAGAAAGAGAAAAAACCTTCATTTATTTGGAGAATTTATATTTTCATATTACAGTTAAGTGTCACAATAAATCCGTTGAGTGAGGTAGGTCCACTGGCGGTATCCTCCTGCAAATAAGGAAAATATGAGATCAGTACCGTTTTTCAAAATGACGGAAATTGTTATTGAATTAACATTTTAAATTCAAACAAAAACACATAATCATAATCATATACAATTGTTTTGGCACCTGGGGGCATTGGGGAGTACTGGACAGCCAGCTGCTTCGTCAGCCACCCTAGTTTCAGAATCATTGTCAGTACGCGCCCACCACAGTGGCAGGGTTCCAATCCAGGACCTTCTGGTTACAAGCAAGGCCAGCTAGCTGGCTGGCTGGCTGGCTCGTATACCATTCAGTCACCACTCACTGGGACCTGACCTGACCCGACCAGATTCAATGATTAACGCATGAATTCTAACTTCTACCAATCAATTTATGATGCATTTACCGCGACTGGCGGCGGCACCAACCAATCGGTGGGAAATTCATCCTCGCTCGCACAGTTGACTGGACTGGACTGATTGGAGCTCACCGTGTAAAACTGACTAACTGACTAACAACATATATGCTGCTGATGGATTAATTGCTGGCTGGCTGGGTAGGTCTGTCTGTCTGCCTGTTTGTCTATTTGAATTGACTAACTAACATTATGCCCAATTATATAATTATTCTTGCACTAACTAGCCTTACATTGCGATTTCTCAGTATTCACTGCACTCACTCACTCACGCACTCACTCACTAGTTAAACATTCTGCAATGCTTGTTTTCTTTTATTTCAGCACTAAAAGTATATTATTATTATTATTATTATTATTATTATTATTATCCTACAACGTCGTAATTAAAACTACAGAAGTGAAAATGTCACTTCATCTCATAATCTCATAGGACGAGGAGTAGGGCACAATGATCAACTTTTTAAATATATTTTCATATGCATATATATATATATATATATGTATTTGTAATATACAGGCATCTATCTATCTATTTGTGTCAATTTATCGATCAATCCAGTCAGTTAGTCAGCCAGCCATTTTTTGAAAATACACATGATATAACAAGATATTGATTTTTTAATTTTAATTAGTCATCTTGTATAATAGAGTAGAATAGAATAGAATTAATTATTTCTTAATTCATTGCCTCCCTGCCTGCTTTGATTGTGAATTGTAAATTTTGCCTAAAAGATGATGATGATAAATAATGACTTCTTTTAATTTGAAGAAGAACTTATTATTTATTATTAATTAGTATAAGTCTTTTTGGGAGGATTTCATCATGAGCTCTATGAGACACGAATTATCTATCTATCTATCAGTTAGAGAGAAAGAAGCATTGTAAAACCAGTTGATTGGAGGGGAGTATTGGATAGCCAGCTATTTTATCAGCCACCCCAGTTTGAGGCGCTTACTTCAGTAGCACGCTGGCTGGCTGGGTTCGAGTCCTGGCGGTTTACACAGAATGATAAGTTCTTGTTTGTTTTTGGTCGAATTACAAAACACACAGACACACTCACAGTTGGTGTGATGATCTCGGACAGCAGTAGTTTTACTCAAAATATACTACCGAAAACGAACACACAAACAAACAAACAAACAGAACTTATCATTGTCTGTAAACTATTGAAATATATGATTATTATTTATTTATTTATTTACTGACATTAACTACTCCGGGAGAATTAATTACAACTATAGAAATGTAAACGTTACTTCATTGGAATGAAGTTAGCTGGTTAGCTAGCTAGCTAGCTTACTTACAATAATATATAACCTTACATGTCATAGTAATTTTTTTTAGGTAAAGATAGCTAGCTAGCTATAGGTGTATGAAGGGGTGCCGTCAACTAACAATTATACAACTCCTCATCCAACAGTTGTAGTAAAATGCTGTATACCAAGTAATCTACCCATACACAAAAGGCAGGGAAACTCACAGAGTCCTTCGAAGAAGAAGAAGCGAAGACGGGAGTAAGACAAGGCTGGCTGGCTGGCTAACTGCCTACTATCTCCAACGATTGTTTTCCTGATTGCAGTAGACTGGACAATGCAACAGACAACAGACAGACAGCGACGGGCCGGGCCAAGCCGGGAAACCAAGAGACAGGCATCAAACGGATCCATACCAAAAACAATTAAATGATCTGCATTTCGCCCATGATATATTTGCATATATATATACGACTGATTTCCCTTGCTTCCTTTCTCATACAAACTGGAAAATATGCAAATGAAAAGCAACAAGTTGGCGATAGACGACGACGAAGACGACAACGAAGAAGAAGAAGCATCAAAATTGGGACAAAAATAGCCGGTGAACATAGAGAAGAAAACACAGGTGATGTAGATTATTAGGGGCCGACAGCAACAGAAACAATCACAACGACAACAACAACACAACCACAGACAATCAGCATCAGTGGGAGATGGAAAAGTGAGAGAAGAAGCAACATTCATCATTACCTGCCTGAAAAGCATCGTCTCAACTACGGACGGACGGACTGACTGACGCAATTGATGAGGAAGCAGGATATAGAAAAACGTGGATCCGGAAAGCAAGGCAAGCTTTAATTACTCCCTCTCAAATTTCAGTGTGGAGATGAACAGAACTGAATGACTCAGCGCTGACTCAGCATGAAAATAACATCCGGATCTCCGACGCCAATATGAACAAACTGCAGACCTTCATCAACAGCTGCAACAACTGCAAAACTTTGCTCGAGAACACATGGCCGGCCAGGTAAGGAAAACTTTGGCAGGGAAACCAACGCAATGGAGATGTACGGCTGTAGCCTTGTTTTCCTCTAGGAATGAAACGAGACGATAATAATAATAATAATAATGGTAATAATAATGATACTTATAGTATAATATAATGTAATAATAATAATAATAATAGTAATGGTAATAATATACCGAAAATGAGAATTGAATACGCGAACTGACAAATATCCATCTCCGTATACTTATCGTCCGCTGTCTCTTAAGTGACGATGCCATGTAGTCATCGGCATCCTTGGCTGGGCTGGGCTGGGCTGGACTGGACTGGACTGGACTGTAAAGTGATGATTTCGCCATCGAGATTTCCTGTTAATACTAACAATGCTAAGAGATGTTCTTCATACACCACAAGTTGATGAGGAGTTCCACTAACACATGACACACGTTTAAGTAAATTATTATTATTAATATTATTTTCAAATACTTACCGAGTGAGTGAGTAATTTGTCAATGATATTCCGGGATCCATAATCACTGACAGGCTGATAGTTAGCTTCGTTAGACGAAAGAGACAGACGGCTGGCTGGATGGCTGGCTGGCTGCCTTTCATTCAAAGTAACAACAATAAGTATTGAAAATATAAGTAAGAATTATTTCAACTGGTAAAATACTGGTCGGCTGGATACACTCACTTGTCGTCGATTTGCCAAGATGAGAGGAGAGGAGAGGAGATGAATAATGCCAGCCAGCCAGCCAGTTAGAAGGAATCAAATGACTGAAAATGATGAATAGCATTGAATTAGATTGATAACAACTTGGAATTGGGGCTATGAAGTCATCAAATAAATAAATAAATAAATAGAAATCTACATCTGGTTGTTTGATGCAAGCAACCAAAATCTTCAAAGTCATATGTCTTTACATCCACTAAATAGAATATGTAAGAGAGAGAAAACAGTACTTACTTACCTCTCCAGTCAGGTCGTGTGTGGTTATAACCAGGCGTCGTTGTTAGTGTCTTCATTTTTATTATATATATATATATGTACTAATGTTCCTCATTAGTATTACTTATAACCGAGTTAATGAAGTCTATCTCCAATCAGTTTTCTGTTGAACGGAGGAGCAGGGAGTTCATTTGGAATGTATTTGATGCATTTTTCTGCATAGTATTCACTTCACTGTTTACTTTTCAAAGACTTTCATCATAGTGTCACTCCAGATTGCAATTGTGTGGGAAATCTGTTCTTTCGTGTTACTTACGTAAGTTATGTTTTGTTGAATAACTAGTACTGTGAATGGATTGCTCCCAAGTGAAACACTTCGTCACTGGATGTCGAATACTCCTTGGTTTATCTGGTCGTGCGGGTACGTGTAACACTCATATCTTTCATGCTCTTCAAATATGCCACCCAATTTGTTATCCATCTCATAATTAGGCACACTATGGATAATAATGCTGAGAGTAGGACAGTGAATTAGCTATTTAGATTTAGAATAGTGAAGTGGAAGTGCTTTCTCTTCGAGTAAATTATTCAGACACCATGATTCTACGAGATTTGAGTTGTAGACATAATAAAATGAATACTGATAATCCAAGAAGGCTGCAAGCAAGGCTGAATCACACTGATAACTAAGGAATGCCTGAGCAGCTGAATGTTTCATTTCGGCATCTTAATCCTATTTTAACACTTCAGATTTATGTGAATTAATTGTACTTATTGTCAGTATTACTCTTGTATTCATCATTCGAATAACCTAACTGAGTGTAGTTGGACCACCTTGGTAGTGGTCATTACATATTTAATCGACGAAATTTCAGGGGATGTCTATTATCCGCCCTCCTCCTCATCGAATAGAAATTTATCTAGAGAATCGCCATCTTCATAACTTTCATTTCTTTCGTTTGTGTCGATATAGAATTCTGGGGACACTTCTGCAACTGGAATTGCTGCTTATACCACAATTACAATTCGCGTTCCCCTACAATTATATGTACTTGATAGTGACTGTGAGTGCACCTCGTGTCATCATTCTCATTTATTTTTATGAACGCGGTAAATTCAGTAAAAAAATGTTTGTCTTGTGTATCAGATTGCCTAAGGTTTAGACTAGGGCATGTTTTGCTTATTGCCTTTCTCATAACTCCGAGGACAGGGTACGTGATGTCTTTCCATGAAATATTTGGATTATAAAGCGACTAATTTGAAACTCGCGCATCATAAGTATTCAACCGAGAGATGGAATGATGTGACTCGAACATACTAGTCGTCACATCATCTCCAAGAAACTGTTTGACTGTTACGGAGGAAGAAGCCTCGATTTCATTCGATATTCAAACAGTCCAGTTCTGATATGAAGTAAATCGTGATGAAGTAGAATTAATATTCCCAGCTGAGTGGAATAACGAATGAAAACGATGACAATTAGGTGATTGATACTACTATTATAACTCTCAACACTCACCAGGAACAAATCATTCAGCTACAAAAATGGAGTATTTAAGGGTGAACAGGTTCGAAGAGGAAATGAAATTCGTTTTCTTGACGACGATATTTCAAAAAATGTGTTACAATATTAAAGAAATTGAAACAGATGCTGGATGAAACCATTTCAAAGAATTATTAGCGCTATTTCAAACAACATATCTACCACAATAACTTTATACGAAAGTACTTGATAAATCACTATTGACTTATTCGAGAAGATTCATCGCTTCCTGCCTTAACATTCCAGCCATGCAACATCAGTTCAGAATATACATTCATTTAAAAAAACTACTTTCATATCACTCGTATTTAAGTGAGTCATTCTTTATCTCTATTCCTCTTTCCCCCACAGACAATAATCATCGCCTTTCCCGCATCTGTACCGCTTATCGATGTAGAAATCTGGTGGACATTTGTCACATGGATTGTTACCATGGTTATTGCAGGAATTGTAGTGGGCGTCAGTGTTCTTAGGAGATTCGATTTACTCAAAAGTTTTGGTCCCTTCATACTTGCCACATTCGTTGTTGAATTATTCTTTTGTGTGGTATTCTTCCCTTTCATTTATTTTGAAGAATACGATGTGAGTGGTCAGATGAACTTTAAAATTCTCATCGTGAAATTTCACCTGCTGTTGAGGATATGTGACAGAGACACATAGTTTACTAACCACAAGATAGGCCAGGAATAGACGGAACAGAGGCGACATAGCTGACGACCTTTCTGTGCATAAAACATCACCATCACTATTGACACTTTAAGGCAGAAAAGCAGCATACTTAAACTTTGCTGAAATAAAGTTCTTTTACCGTCTAGTGTAGGCCTCCAGAACGTCAGCCAACTAATGTGCGTTGCTTGGATGAAATCGAGACTCTTATTGGACACTTGGTATTTCCACACAATGTTGGAGGCTCTTATCTCAAGCCAGATGACAGAAGAGTTAAGAAGGTATGATGGAGAATTGTTAGTAATTTGGAAGAGTGGGAGCATGAAATCAAACTCTTCAATTTCTTACCTGGAATGTCGATAATCTACTGCTGCTGTTATCCAGATTGAGCAAGTTTCTCATAAATGGCGAAAATATTTTGAAACTTAATTAGCAAACAAGTTTCAGTCTCCTAGAGACCGTCATCAATTCGAGCTGTTAGTTGCAGGAATATGAATTACACTGAGGCTGTAATTGAGATTCCTGCATACTGCAGATAGCCATTCCACAATCAGTCAGATTGGTATAATGCGTCATTACGCCAAGCGCAGTAAATAAATAACAGAAATTAGACGGTCATTCAAATTAATGGTCACAATGAAGAAAATATAATTCTATATTTGTGTCGTTTGAAGTAAATCGTTGATTTCACCTCCCATTCTCTTGACAGATACTCATCATGCTGTGTGGAATCGCCATGATATGGACAGTTATTTCGGTATGTTTATCAATCGATCATTTGAAAACGGATTCGCACTTCTTGAAATGACACCTGCTGTTAGTCTACCGAGAATACAGAACGACACTGAACGAAGTAGATAAGTGAAGTTGAAACTGTACTTCTGAATTAACTGACTCACTGAGCTCTGATCTCGAATATTATTTATGAGAGATAAATGTACGCTGTTGTCCCACTGAAATGTCTTCAGTTCTTAATGGTTCTGTATTTTTGGTGTAGGGACTAATCATGTCATGAGGAAGAGGAATTTTACTCGAATTTCAACCGTCTGCATAATTTTGACACCTGCCTGTTGGAGACATAAAACGGGTCGGCTAACTAAATCTCCATGTCAGTTGAAACCATTTCCTTATCGTCATTAGAAATCCTATGATATGATTGAACTTTCATGGTCTATTCACATAACTTAAGTATCTCACTTATTTCTGTTCACGAATTCACAGGCATTTGTACTGCCTGAAAACATACTGGACACTAATAAGTTTCATCATTCCTTCATTTCACTTTCAGGAGATAGCTATCATTGTTCAAGCACTTCTTGGTGATAGACGATTCACATTCCGAAATGATCAACACGTACTCGGTGGACTGATAATTGGCATGTTAATTATCTGGCTGAATTTGCTCGTTTCAACGGAGGTGGCCATCTTCCACGTGTTGTTCAGTCCTAAGCAGCAAACACCAGCTCCTTCCTCATTAGGATGATCTGTGGATAGACATCTGGAATAGTTTTAAATGACTGTATTATCAATTTTACTTTTTTTATTGTACTACATTGAAAAATGCAATACAAGTGAGACTATTTTTGATCCTCAAGTAATCAGAATGAGTAGGAACTGCGTAGTCATGAATTTTGGATTTTGAGTTTGCAAGAAATCAGTAACTACAAGATCTAAATGAAGGGAATTACTGTCAATCATCTGTAATAGCGTCATAATGTGGTGAGAGCTGGCTGCTAGCCACCTTGGTAGGCAGTAATTTACGTCAATGTTTACGTCGCCAATTTCTGTCGTAAGAAAAATAAGAACAGCGCCTGATTCAACAACCCACCACAGCAGACTTTGCGTAGGCAGATACAGTTAGCACATAGATGATCTTTTGCCTGCCCCTTGTCACCTGTTGTTACAATACTAGTTCATGAAGCGTTGTGATTGATGGACTGGCAGTTATCCACGTTATGGCAAAACGTTTACAACAACCTGTGTTGTAAACAGGTATGAGGTTAACATTTTGTAAAGTCGAATTCCACTTTTATTGAGCTCAACTGTTCCTCCGTAGCAGACAGAGGCTTGTGTTGATGAAGTGTACAGCGGGTTGTTGGAAATGATTTCCGATGACACAAGCTTCAAACACATAATAATCCTGTTTTTTGCTGGAATGAGAGAGATGAAATGGTGCAGGCTGATGGTGCTTTCATAAGACAGTCATGCGGAATATTTTGTTTCAATAAGAGCAGAATTACCAATGACGCCAATCCATGCCTGTAAGACGATGAAAGCTAAGAAAACTACTCAGAGTTTAGAAGAAGTGAGATGTGATGAAGATGTACTGGGAATCTGTGAGAGCAGACAACATAAGCCTTAGCAACTTCATTTTGGCCTTGATTTCATGTTCACTTAAGTGACATCGTTTTCAAAGAATAAGCTCAAAGAAGACTGGAATTTCAAATGATCAGTGAATACCAACTGGTGACAAAATCAAATCCACATGACATGCGTTAACAAGTCCTGATAATTTTCCAGTCAGTCCTTTGGAAACGAAAATAGATGAAATTCGAAAAACTCAATATAATATTGCCTAATAAATGAGCCGTTCCAATCTCGTTATATCCAGTTTACATACTCCAGCTTTTGCAAGCATCAAGCCACATTACTATTCAGTGTGAATTAAAGTGGAGTCTGTGTTGTTTCATTGAGGTAGAAGGAAATCTGATCCATAGTCTATACTCATCACTATACATCCTAGAGCTGTTTGTTGA